CCCCCCTAAAGGAAGGAGCCACATGAAGACTGCAAACCATATCTCTCTGAGTCCAACGTGGCCTATTTTTCTCCTGGAATAGTTGCTTCTCCTTCTGGTGAAGTCCTTGACTGGCATTTAATCAGATCTCAGATGGAATATAGGTACCCCCCAAATATTAGAGCAGTGGTTCCCAAACTTATTTGGCCTACCGCCCCCTTTCCAGAAAAAATATTACTCAGCGCCCCCTGGAAATTAATTTTTTTTTAATTTTAATAGCAATTAAACAGAAAGATATATGCCCCCAAATGCACCTGTGGCCATCACCGCCCCCCCTGGATCGCTGCAGCGCCCACCAGGGGGCGGTAGCGCCCACTTTGGGAATCACTGTATTAGAGCCATGTTGAGTAGGCCAGTGTGCTCCTCTTGTGGCCCATGGAAACAGGTGAACTGAGAAGAAACTCTCCTATTGGGCTCACACTGCTGGATGTGGGGTCATTGAGGGGGGGCTCTTGCATGTAATGACCTCCCACGATTTAAGTTATTCGCTCCCTCTCCTTCTATATTCCTCTGTGTCCACCTAGTACCATGTGCCTCGATGAAATGCGCATTGAACATGTCTCTATTTTATCTGGACACCCACTAGGGCTTCCCGCATGGCTCATTGTCATTCAACTTTTTTAAAAATATTTTTTTTATTTATTTCAGAGAGGAAGGGAGAAGCAGAGAGAGATAGAAACATCCATGGTGAGAGAGAATCATTGATTGGCTCCCTCCTGCACGCCCCACACTGGGGATGGAGCCTGCAACCAGGGCATGTGCCCTGACCGGGAATCCAACCGTGACCTCCTGGTTCATGGGTTGATGCTCAGCCACTGAGCCACACCAGCCAGGCTGTCATTCAACTTTGTTGCCAACCTTTTGGGGTACAGGTGTGCTCTTGGCCTATGAGGGTGGATCTCCGGGTCCTTCCCCCCGTCCTAGGACGGCACCTGCAGATAGAGCTTCCGCAGGGCCCCCATCATGTCCTTGTTCCTCAGGCTGTAGATGAGCGGGTTCAGGCTGGGTGTGAGGATGGAGTAGAAGACAGCGGCCAGGCGCCCCTGCAGCGGGGAGGAGCGGGCGCTGGGCTGCATGTAGGCAGAGCTGCCGGCGCCGTAGAACAGCAGCACGGTGGCCAGGTGGGACGAGCACGTGGAGAAGGCCTTCCGGCGGCCGCCCACGGAGCGGATCCGCACCACGGTGGCCAAGATGCGCACGTAGGACAGCACGGTGAGCGCAAAGCAGCTCATGATGACGCAGCCGCTGACCGCGAACCCGGAGGCCTCATGGGCATCCGCGTGGGCACAGGCGAGGCGCATGACCGGGGGGATGTCGCAGAAGAAGTGGTCAATGACGCGGGGGCCACAGAAGGGCAGGGAGAAGGTGTTGGCTGTGTGGAAGGTGGAGAAGAGCAGCCCGCTGCCCCAGGCCACCGCCACCAGGGAGACGCAGATGCGGGGGCGCATGGCCACGCCATACACCAGGGGCCTGTAGATGGCCAGACACCGGTCGTAAGCCATGGAGGTGATGAGGAAACACTCCGTGGATCCAAGGCTGACAAACGCAAAGAGCTGGGATGCGCAGGCAAGGAGGGAAATCTCCCCTGAGCCCAGCAGGGTGGCCACCAGGGCCCTGGGCAGGGTGGTGGACATGGAGCAGATGTCCACCAGGGAGAGGTGCTTGAGGAAGAAGTACATGGGCGTGTGCAGGCGGGGGTCGAGCGTCACGGCAGCCACGATGGAGATGTTCCCCAGAAGGGCAGCCAGGTAAACGAGAAGGAAGAAGGCCGCGCTGAGCAGCTGTAACTCAGGGGAAGCCGAGAAGCCCTGGAGGAGGAAGATGGATACCGTCCCCGTGAGGTTGGCCATGTTCTGTCTTTGGAAACGCTGGGGAATTGCAGAGCGGCGCCAGGAGCAGAACTGCAGAGGGCGATCCAGGAGCGGAATTGCAGAGGGCGAACTTGGAGCGGAATTGCAGAGGGCGAACTTGGAGCAGAATTGCAGAGGGCGAACTTGGAGCGGAATTGCAGAGGGCGAACTTGGAGTGGAATTGCAGAGGGCGAACTTGGAGCGGAATTACAGAGGGCGAACTTGGAGCAGAATGCAGAGGGCGCGCCAGGAGGAGAATCGCAGAGGGCATGCCGGGAGCAGTGCAGTAGCTAAGACCTAGGAGGAAGTGGGTAAGAAGCTGAGTGAGCGCATGCTAGAAAGGAGGCTCAAGCATTTGCTCATTAAACCCACGTGCACTACGTGTCTTCCCTAGAAGTCTCAAAGTCAGATACCTATAGAGGTCGGGCAGGGACACAAATTAGTGGATCCAGGCCCTGGCTGGGTGGCTCAGTTGGTTAGAGCATCCTCCAGTGTACTGAAGGGTTGCAGGTTTTATTCCTGGTCAGGGCACATACCCATGTTTCGGGTTCCATCCCTAGTGGGAACACATTCAGGGGCAACTGATGGATGTTTCTCTCTCACACACGAATGTTTCTCTCCCTCTCTTTCCCCCTTCCTCTCTCTCTGGAATCAATGAAAAATATATCCTGCGGTGAGGATTAAAAAAAAAATAGGCCCTAACCGGTTTGGCTCAGTGGATAGAGCACTGGCCTGTGGACTGAAGGGTCCCAGGTTTGATTCCAGTCAAGGGCATGTACCTTGGTTGCAGGCACATCCCCAGTGCGGGGTGTGCAGGAGGCAGCTGATCGATGTTTCTCTCTCATCGCTGTTTCTAACTCTCTATCCCTCTCCCTTTCTCTCTGTAAAAAATCAATAAAATATATTTTTTTAAAAATAAAATAAAATAAAGGGACTCTTACCCTTTGGGGCAGCATAGATGGACCTGGAGAGCATTATGCTAAGTGAAATCAGCCGGTCTGAGAAAGGCAAATACCATATGATCTCACTAATATGTGGAATCTAATGAACAAAAGAAACTGGTGAACAAAATAGAACCCAGAGGCGTGGATGCATGGAACAGACTGACAGCTGTCAGAGGGGTGGGGTGTGGAGGGACTGGTGAAAGAAGGTGAAGAGATTAGCCAAAGGACATATATGCATCATAGCCTAGGGTCACAGACAACAATGTGGAGATGGCCAGAGAGGATGGGGGCTGGAGGCTGGGCGGAGGTGGGCAAAGGGGGAGACAGAACTGGGGAGCATCTGTAATAGTGCCAACAATAAAAAAAATTTAAACACTGTACACATGCAATGCGGCCACCAGTTTAAAGCTTTTGGTCTTGCCCTAACCAGTGTGTCTCAGTGGATATAGAGCGTCTGCCTAAGAACTGAAAGGTCCCAGGTTCGATTCCGGTCAAAGGCACATGCCCTGGTTGTGGGCTTGATCCCCAGTGGGGGGCTTGGAGGAGGCAACCGATCCATGATTCTCTCTCATCATTGATGTTTCTCTCTCTCTCTCTCTCTCTCTCTCTCTCGGATACAATTGTGGAAGAAGGCAAAGACCGAAAGGAGCCAGCCTGGTGAGGAGGACCACGGGGGGCTCACAGAGAAAGGGGCAGCACCTACTCCATAGCATCTTTTTTTGTTGTTGTTCTTAATCCTCATCCGAGGATATTTTTCCATAGATTTTTAGAGAGAGTGGGAAGGAAGAGTGAGAAACATCAGAGAGAGAGAGAGAAAGAAAGAGAGAAAGACAGAGAGAGAGAGAGATTGGTTGCTTCTTGCACACGCCCCCAACCAGGACCAGGGGACCAGGGCCAGGGATGGGGCTTGCAAATGAGGTGCGTGCCTTTGATCGGAATCAAACCCAGGACCCTTCAGTCCAAAGGCTGAGGCTCTGTTCACTAAACCGAACCAGCGAGGGCTAGCGCCAAAGCATTTTAATTGTGTATGCAACCCAAAGTCTTCCTGTAATTTATTTCCCCCACTAGACACGGAGCCCTCTGTCTCCATCCAAGGGCAGGACTGTTTCTTGCTCATCTCCACATTTCCCCACATCTAGCATAGGAGGGGGTCCACAGAAGGAACATGGGATCTAAAAATGTTTTCTTCGCCCTAGCTGGTGTTGCTCAGTGGATAGAGCATCAGCCTGGGGACTGAAGGCTCCCGAGTTCGATTCTGGTCAAGGGCACTTGCCCGGGTTGCAGGCTCGGTCCCCAGTGCAGGAGGCAGCCCCAGAATTCTCTCTCATCATGGATGTTTCTATCTCTCCTCCCTTCCTCTCTGAAATCAATAAAAAAAATATTTTAAAAAATTAAAAAATATATATAAACGTTTTCTCCAACCCAACAGCCAGGGTTTGGGTGCTTCCTGGCCTTGGACAGATGCCTTCTCCTCTCTGATCCTCAGTTTCCTCCTCTGCAGAATGGGAGGATGAGGCTCACATACTTTCCTTAAAGGCTGGCCATTACTGCCCTGGCCGGGTGGCTCAGCTGGTTGGAGCACCATCCCATACACCAAAAAGGTTTGGGGTTCGATTCCTGCTCAGGGCACTTGCCTAGGTTGTGGGCTTGATCCCCAGTTGGGGCGTGTGCGGGAGGCAACCAATCGATGTTTCTCTCTCTCTCTCTCTCTTTCTCTCTCTCTTCCCGCCTTCCTGTCTTTCCGAAATTAATTTAGAAAAAAAGTATTTTAAAATAGATTACAATCAGGTTCTTTGTAACGTGTGCCCCTTGTCTTTCTTTTCATGAGGGCCCCTGGGCTACTGGGATTGTGTCATAAGATAGGTATGAAAACATATTTTTAAACTCCCCGCCAGCGTGGCTCAGTGGATAGAGCGTTGGCCTGCGGACTGAAGGGTCCCAGGTCTGATTCCAGTCAAGGGCACATGCCTGGGTTGTGGACTCGATTCCCCAGTGGGGTGTGTGCAGGAGGCAGCTGATCCATGATTCTCTTTCATCATTGATGTTTCTCTCTCTCCCTCCCTCTTCCTAGCTCTCTGAAATCAATAAAAAAATATATATATTTAAAAAACTTCTTAATGGAAAAGATGAACTACCTATTCCTTTCTTTTCCTTTCTCACCCTCCCTCACCCACCTGCTGTTTTTACCTGCCTTGCGGGCAGCTAGGCGCTGGTGGGGCTCCCCCCACCCCTGAGTCTGGGTACTCTCCCTGAGATATAACCTCACTGGGGGGGGGGGCACAAAGCCATGTCACCCCTCACAGATGCCCACATCCCAGGCTCTGAAACCCCTCGCATGGCAAAAGGAACTTTGCAAACGTGATGAAAGCTTTGGACATGGAGAGACTATTTTGCGTTCTGGGTTGAATTGCATCCTCCCCCCTCCCCCTTCCCCAAAACTAAGGTTGCACATCTAACCCCCGAGACCTCAGAAGGGAACCTCCTTTGGGAACAGGGTCACTGGAGACGTTGTTATTAACTTGGGGACCTCTGGAACCTGGAAAAGGGAATGGATGTCCCCCCCACTCCTCCCCACGGAAATCCTCCAGGAAGGGACACAGCCTGGCCGGCCCTCGCTCTCAGCCCCGTGAGACCCCGTTAGGGCCTGGGTTTCTGAACCTGTAGGACACCACGTGGGTGTTGCTTTTTTGGAGACTAGTGTGTGGGATTTGTCACCGGGGCCCTAACAGATGCCACAGCCTCCCCCCCCCCCCAGACCCCAGCCCTCTTGCTGGTCTCACCAGACTCCGCTCCTGTGGCGCCTTCCAGCATCCAAGTAGCTGATGCCCTTGGTCCCCTTCTCGGCCCCACCGGGTCCCGGGGGACAGACACTGTGACCGCGTCTCCCTCAGCATCACACGGGTCCCCGGTGAGAGGGTTTCGGTGGGTACACGGGACCCCCTCCCCAACTTTGCAGATATTACGCTCAGGGAGGAGGTACAATGTGCACTGATGTCCCAGAAAGAGCCCATGAGCCAGCCCCATCGAGGCATGGGGCTCCGTGGTTGAGCATCGACCTATGAACCAGGAGGTCAGGGTTGGGTTCCCAGTCAAGACACATGCCTGGGTTGCAGGCTCGATCCCCAGTAGGGGGCGTGCAGGAGGCAGCTGATC